TTTTAATTTGCTTTGATAATCCTTTTAATACACGCATAAGTATTATTAGCATAATAATCATGCCAAATGATGGGAACGAAAGAAGCAGAAGCAGTGGAGCTGAACAACGGGAGCGTGGACGGAATTTTTATACTCATATTTTATACCTATTTTTGGTGATATTGCACTTTAATAGAAGTCATTTTGATGTTTTCTTGCAGGTTGTTGATTTTTAGTGCTTAAAATAAAAAAAAAGAAAAAATAATGAAATTTAGAGTCAAAATGACGTTTTTGAGGAAATAATCAGCGTCGGAGGCGCCAAGGTCAACGCCGACAGCGCCAAGGTTAGCGTCGACGACACATAACAACCAAAAGCTGGAGGATTTTGCCAACAACCCATAACAACCAAAAGCTGGAGTATTTTTACTCAGCGCTGACGGCGCCAAAGGCGGTTCAGACCACGTTTCTAGAAGGTTCGATGTATTTGGATGATTTTTTAAGAGTTTTTGGAGGCACCTTTTGGAGAACCGACCTTGACCTTTATTTGGGGCCCAATTTCATCAGAAAAGGGCTCCTCTACGTTCATTTTTCGCTCTACAACATTCCACCATGCTACATTTCCATAATCCTTCTTCATTCCACCACATATTGGAGTCAATTAATAATTTTGCTTTCATAGTTTAGAGTTTTTGTGGTGAGATTTAGTGTGAAACTTTCCGTAAGAGTGTTGGAGAAGGAGAAAAGCAAGAGAGTTCTTCTTCTTGCATTTCTAAGGAAAGGCTACAAAGGATTTGCTTTGAGAAAGAGTTTCAAATAAGTTTGTTTGTTTATTTAGTGTTGTATGAACTTTCTTTTATATATGAAATTTGTGTTTTGTCGTATCTTTCTCATGAAGTTTGAGTAGTTTCCTGTATCTTTCCCCATACTTTGAGAACTGGAGAAATAAAGAGATAATATGAATGTGTCATAATTAAAATATAAAATAAATTGTGATGATTTTTCAACTCCGAACTTAATTTACTTTTCAATTTGGCCAATTGATTTGTTAAAGTATGTTGCAAAATATATGATCCGGGAAATTGAGTATGCGTTCTACAATAAAGTGAGGATCACATTTGATTTCATGAAGAAAAATTTCGTTCATGAAATTAAGTGCAAATAAATAGGGAAATATTCTTCGTTGGGTGTAGAATTGGAGAATCTTTAGGGTGACAGACTAAAATCCCCAATTTGATTTTAGTGTTTAAAAACTAAAGTGAGAGTTAGCCTTCAGGTGAAGAGAAGTGGGAGCATGTATTCTCCTAGCTTAACCACAGATTTAGGGACTAAACTTAAGATTAACCAATGATTTTCTATGCACTGTATCAAGGAAGAGAATTAAAATTGCTCCTATTTGGCACAATACATATTATAAACATTTATCTCATCTCATTTCACCAGAATTTCATTATAGTGGGAAAAATATTTTTTCATATAAGAAATCTTTATTACATAAACATAGTTAATAGATTAGTAGTTACTATTCAAAATTCGCATTTCTGTTTTGCTAATAGTTAAATAATTTAGTTTGGTTAATATCCCAACATTCGAAATTAGTGACAGTGATTTCGTTTGATTTTCTGTAAGTTTAATGTTAAAATTTATCATTGCTAACTTACACCTTCCATATGGGATCGATATTTGGGGCTTAAATAGAAAGTTCATTATTACTTGATAACGATACATATACTTGCGTAGAATTTCTTTATTAATTATCTATAATTATATATATTTTACACAACTTACTTTTCATATAATGATCAAGTTTTCGGCGCTGTAGTGATGTCAACTTCATAAATCCTTGCATAAGAAAATCAGGATCATCTATCACCTTGCCTATGGTCCCTAAGTGATTGATTGTCTTCATAAAGCGAGTGAGAAGAAGAATGTGAATCATCCCTCGCTCTCCACCTGTATCCCCTAAGAGCCCTCTTATGCAGACGACATGTGAAAGAATTTCCTCTGACATTATCGGGGTGGAGTTGCACCTTTTGGTCGATATTTGGCCAGCTCCAACAACTCGACTATGCTTTTCGACAGCTGCAGGCCCAAAGCTTATCAGAACAAACATTTCTTCAGCCATTACAACACGTGTTACTATAGTATATAGATCCCATACCTCAAACATCTTCTTTTGGAATCGAGTAATGAGCAAGCAAAGGCTCTTCCTTTGCCTCAACCATATCTATAGAATGACTTGTGAGCTTTTTAAGAATATTTGGGCATTGATGAATTGTGCCACAAGCATCCTTTTAAAGTTAGTGAACCAAGTAATCATCCCTATTGAAAATCTATTGAACTGTTTGAGGGACGACTCCCTTAGCATGGTGAAAAAATGTGCACTTTAATGCTTATGTAATATTCAAAAAATATTCATAAGATTCCAGTGCAAGGATTTTGAACCATTCTGAGAGCTCAGCTTCAAAAATCTACCGAGAGAATGCATTCTCTAGATAGTGGGAAGCCCAATATGCCTGAATCGTTGTTAATCCATTGATGAAGACCCATCACTATCAAAATTATGGGAATCTACTTACCTTTCTACAAGTAAGGGAGACATTCGAGCATTGGACATCAAACTTTCCTCTCAGGGGTTATGCTTCCTTCCTTGAGCCAATGCCTTTCAAAGGGTATCTGTCATCTAGTCTTTCAGCTCCTGAATTTACTGTTGCACAAACTTCCTGATGCACTCTATGTTACTAGTGTCTTTTTTGGGGTTTTCTTCTCCGTGTGCAGCTCTCTTTCTTGTTTGTTGCATGATCCACACTCATCGCATCTTTTAGATGTTGAATTTTTATTTATTTGTGAATCACACCTAAGGAATCGAACGTAAGACGAGAGAGAGTAGGAGAGAGAGAGAGAGAGAGAGAGAGAGAGAGAGAAATGCATAGTAATGAACAATAATATGAATAGTTGGTTTGTCCATTCTCATAAAATAATCCTCTATTTATATAGGAGGAGGTATAATATATGCAATTACATGTTTGCCCTATCATTAATGGAGGCGTTGCATGATATTTTAAGTATTTTACAAGGATAGATATATGGTTCGGCTATCCTATGACTCAGTCGACTGAAATTAATGGGTCTTGGTTTGACAAGACATATTCGTTTGAATGTGTTGGATAGGGGTTTCCGTTTGGCCTTTGATGGTCTTCAGGTCAGCAAGATGATGCTTGATCGGCTTGGCTTCGCTGGTTAGATGCTCTCGTATAGTTGTTGATTATTGATCCTTGGTAAAGAGCTCATGTCTTCAGAATGAAACTATGTCATCAGATAGAGGTTAAATCACTGTAATCAAATAGATAACTCATTCCTTGACAATGGAGTCATTCGAGATGCTTTGTAGATTATGTTATAGCCAGTTCTCGGCCCATTATGAGGAATATCAAGGGCGTCAGCGAGATGGCTGGCTATGTCGAACACTTCATTTAAGTTGGTTTGTGGTGAGAGGCAGGCGAATGTATCTAGCTTGGCTTGGTTAGCCTTGGTCCTTGGTTTGGTTGGACTGCATACGACTGACCTCTAGCATTGGTTCAGAGGGATGCACCTAGTCAAGTGGGTTCTTTGGTCTTCTACTCATGAGCCCTTTGGTCTTTCGCTCATGAGCCCTTGGTCTTCTACCAGTGAGCTCCTCTTAACTGTACTCTTTTGTACATTTGTTCGTTGGATCTCCTCAAGATTCATGTTGATGTATTTTTTATTCACACTTTGACATTTCCAATTAGATATTGAAAATTATCTTAGGAGATTTTTCTCTCAAGCATTGAGATTATGAAACATGTAGAAGTTGTTGGATGTTGGACCTCCTATTATCTTTTGTGAACTCACCTCGAGAGTTAGAGTCGAGTGAATGAGAGAATGAAGTAAACTAAGAGTTATTGCGAAGAGAACCAGGAGAGTCCAAATGGGCCTCCTCCAGTCGTCCTTTTATCTCTTATTTATAAAAATGTGTTTTGTATAAGTGCATAAAAAGGGAACAATTATGAAAATAATTCTTAATATGATTAATGTTCTAATAAATTATATGAATTTTATTTCATATTTGTGTTACAATTTGAATTTTGATAGGATGGTATTTGGTTGATCGATTCACTATAATACAACCGACTCAGTTGATAGACTGAGAGACAATCGTGCATTCTGTTTGGTCAACTAAGGCGTTCGGTCGAACAAAAATCTCATCCGCCACGACAAGAACAAGTCAAACGTTCAATCACGACTAGAGGGTTTCTGCCCACACTTCGGAAGGTCGGCCGGTCGACTGATGAGTCGATTTGTTTTGTCGGGTGAATCGTGGCTCACTAGTTGCTTTGGCTCAAGACTTACAAGTGCCCACGTCTCGTAGACCTAGTTGATTCGTCACCTCGACCAAATACCCCTATTTGCAAGGTCTTAGGAGATTCTTGTCGTTTCCTGTGTTAGTTATCCGATGAGACTTGTTGTCAGGATGCATTACATCTCTCCCTTAACTGATCTTATCGCTATGTGGCGAGGGACCATCTCTAGGGCTTTGAACTGTCTCTTGTTTAGAGACGTAGCTTCACCTGCTTGACAATAACTTATTGATTAACTATTTACTCTTTGTTTTTGGCCGTTCACTTGCTTTTAGAATCGTGCCGGTAGCTCTAGTGTATACAGTAAGCCAATAAAGTTATTCAAATATTCTCATGAAAATGAAAGATCATAGTTATTATAAATAAAATTTCCTCGTATTTGTACTTTTTATGTTATAATTTTTTTGGAGCATTTAGATACATCCACCTAATTCCTATGTATTTATATATCTAAAACCTATACATTACTTTTTTTAAATACTTTTTTACCACCCAAAAATGTCATATCGCCCAAAAATATTATCATTTTAATGTTTAGAAAATGAAATACACCTTTTTATAAATAGATAAGATGACATGTATGCAGAAAGAAATAAATAAAATATAGAGGTTAAATATGCAAATATTTAGGAATTGATTAAAATTTTTCGTTTTCACGCGCATCCATCTCCATTGCTCTTCAAAGTTGGAACTTCGCCGCACAGGAAGCGGCCCAATCGGAAAAGCAGTAGATTTGGCCATGGAGGGATGGGATCCGAGCACCAAGTCATCCCTCACGCAGCTCCCTCTGCTCTCTACCCGGGCCGGACCCCGCGATGGCGCGGCCTGGACTCAGCGCTTGAAGGAGGAGTACCGTGCCCTAATTGCGTACACTGCGATGAACAAATCCAACGACAATGATTGGTTCCGGATCTCCGCCGACAACCCCGAGGGCACCCGATGGACGGGATTCTGTTGGTACGTCCACAATCTCCGACGCTACGAGTTCCGTCTCCAATTCGACATCCCTGTCACCTATCCCGCTACAGCCCCTGAGATCGAGCTCCCCGAACTCGATGGAAAGACACATAAGGTTTCTCGCCTTTCTCTTTTGATTCTCGTTTATATTTTTGGTGCTTGACATGTGTGTATCTGTGTTTTTGTTTGATCAGATGTATAGGGGAGGGAAGATCTGCCTGACAGTACATTTCAAGCCCCTTTGGGCCAAGAATTGGTAAATGAGCCGCCTTTTATCTATCAAACTTGATTGGTTTATGGAGATTATTGTCTTCCTGTTATGGTTTTGCTTGGTTCTAATTGAGGTTTTTTCATGGAAACAGTCCGCGATTTGGCATCGCTCATGCTTTGTGTTTGGGTCTTGCACCGTGGTTGGCAGCGGAGGTGCCAATTCTGGTTGATTCAGGCATTGTGAAGCATAAGGATGATGAAGCTCCATCAGCAGAATCCAGAGTATAGTGTTGTGTCTATTACTTGACAGGGAAATAAAAGTGATCAACAAATGTTGTTTGATTTGTGCTTCTTAACTGTTTTTAAGGAAATAGATTATAATAGTTAAAATGCTTACACTTTGAACTTCAGTTGAGCATGGTTAAGCTGAGGTGGTATTTATTGAAATCCTTGTTGCTTACTATTTTCAGTCTTAATTGAAAATATGTATTTGTGATTCACAAAATTTTAAAAGATGATTTGCTGACATCTTCACTCAAAATGATTAGTGATAAATTGTATATCTGCTTTGAAGTTGAGAGCTCCTTTAAGAATGTTACATTAATATTATCTACTGCGCTTTATGTGTTATATAATTCATTAGAAGTCTGTTAGAGTTTTTGCACTTTTGATGTTTTATTCATATTTTAATGTGCAAGGTGACTGGAAATTTTTTTTTTAATTTATTTATGATGTATCATTGAAAGTTTTGTTTTTTAAGTGATTTTTCATTGGATTTTACTGCACAGTATCCCTTGACTTGAGGATTATATAAGATATGCTTAAGGAATGTTGGTGCTATGCAAGAAAAAATATTAGGAACATCATGAAATCCTTCTGAAGCTTTGGGGCTAAACTTTGCGACATGTTGTACTTTGAAGCTTAGGATGATTGGCGAGCTAGTGATTTTATTTCTAATCAGAAGCAATACTGATAGATTAAGACCATAATTAAGAATAAATGTTCAGGTTGAGTTAGTGTTTGAGATTACTTGCATGGTTTATTTGTGATCTTGAGGCCCTCTCTATCTATATGGTTTAGTCAAGTGCAAAGGGGTACATTTGTTGAATTCCGTCATAGTCAACTCTTCTTGTCTAACCAACCAATAAGGCATGAGCTAAGTTCATTGGAGCTCGAAAGGCGTACATGGAGCTTCATGCAAAACTTCAATTCAAGGATGGGCTGCTACATCTCCAATGAGTGTTCTGTTGATATGGAGTACAACATAACTAATGTAGTCCCACTTCAACATTAGAGGAATTATTAAAGGGTTGTTCATCCTTGTGCAATTCTGCTGCCTTTTCTTCTTTGGTATTTATTTCAGTTAATTTTCTTCTTTGGCTGAAAACTTTAGTTCCATAATAGCAGAAGAAACTGAAAGGTCTACTTTTTTTTTGTGTCTAGCAATTCAAAGTGCTAGGTCATTTATTTCATCTTACCTAAGAATTTAGCATCTCTCTTTTTTTTCCTCTCCGCACAAAGCTTAAATAAGTTAGATAAACCATAGGCGAGGTATTTTCAGTCAATTTGGGCTTGATTGACCAACCACTGAATCTATGTTGATGGATCAAAATGATGCATCTATATCGCATTAAATTTAAGATTTGTACATTAGGCTTAAACTTAAGCACAAAGTGAAAACTAAAATCAAGGCAAAATATTTATGGTTAAATTTAGAAGTTTAATGGATGCATGGAGCATACATATCTATATTTGGGCTACAATAGGTTACAATTTGAATCAAGAGTCCTTTAGTTGAAAATCAACAACACCTCACTTAAGATGAATGGATCAATCATAAAAAGCACAAGGAGAGTGAAATGCATTCGAATGGGATCTTATTGAAGGATATATGTGTGCCTATATATATATAATCTCCAAATAAGTGAAAATCTCATTAATATTGGGGAATTGTGCTATCTGGTAACTTATATCTCATGCTCAAGGGATTCACTCTTATCAATTACCATGCTTATCATAGATTTTTCTTTTTGATATATATATAATAGATTTGTACGAAGTTTTTAATGATTAAAAGTTTCATCCATTTCTGATTCTATTTAATGGCAGTTTGAGTCTCTCCCTCTCAATTCCTCTCTAACTAGTTAAGGTGGCCTTTATTGACAATTTTCAGCAAACCCTTCTAAGAAAATCAAATCATTGCTACTCTCTCTGTCTTTCTCTATTTCTCGCTCATAAAAATCCTCTATATCTCAAAAGAGGAAAACAGGATTCTGGCGCAGTATTGAAGGGAAAAACACTCAATGAAGCAATATCAAGGCCAGAAAAAGATGAAGAAAGAAAGCGAAGGGACGAAAGGAGAAGATCCAAGCAAGAACAAAAGAGGAACAAGCCACTTATGTATGGTTCTCTTAATCTGTGTAAAGCTTTCTTTGCTTATTAAATTCTTAGCTATATTTTTCTCAAAGTGTACGTCTCTTTTGTTCTAATTCTTCAATTTGCCTTTTCTATTATTTAGCCTGTTCAGTACACAAGCAGGAAAAACTGATTCAGGATTTTTTATTTTAAAGGTCTTAACCAAACCAATCCCATATTATTTTCCTTTGTACTTCATTTGTAATCATGGTCACTCTTTCATAAACCTCCATCATGTAAATTCTAAAGAAGAAACCTCAAATCTACCATAGCATTCTTCCTCAAAATCTTGTTAAAAAAGAAACCTCCACTTAATCAAAGAAGGACTTGAAAGAAACAGTGAGTTTATTATAGTTGCTTGTTCTTGGATTAGCTTAGCTCATAACCTTGAACAATTCTTAGAGAAAGAACTTTTTATCATGTTTAGGTATTTAGTGCAACAAAAATATTACAAGACTGTAAGAATAAAGACGAAGACCACGGGTTCGTCGTTAGATGCTATGTGTATCTAAGACATAGGTTGTAGGAGGAAGTAATGCAAACTCCCTTTAAAGGTGCTAAGGTTGAAGAGGATTTATCCATAAGCGCTCATTTGATATTTAAAGATGTATCTATATTTGCTTCTTGAGAAGGACTGTAACTTACCAAATTAGGATACTCATTTCAATTAGATTGCTTCAACACACTGCAAGGCTTACATATTTATCCTAAATTATAGATAGGGCTAAACAAGCCCTATCAGTTATGCATTTTGGACCAATAAATTAACTGTTTTGACCACCTTCAGAATGTGATTTGGTCAAATCCAATTTTAGCAGTGACTCCATCATCATTGAGCCAACTCTAAATAGCCAGACCAGCCATTATCCTTATTAAGCCTACTCTAACAGCAGGATGATTTCTACTTGAGTTGGACACGTCCAATTAGATTGCGTGGGTCGACCAAACCACCAACATGACTTGCTGCAACATTAACCTGTTTGGTTACTTGATTGAGGGTCAACCATAAAATATAATTTTTTAGTAACTAATTATCTAGTAGCAAATGAAGCCAAAGGGAGACACAATGATTTATTAGTCTCTTTCATGCAAATTGAGCTTGGTTAACTAGACAACCAAACTATATGGGTGAATCAAAATGCCACGCCGACTTCAGACTAACATTAGGGTTAGCCACATAAGTTGATGTCTAATGTCACAGCTTGGTTCAGGGCCAAGCCCGCATGTTCAATTCGATGTATGGATCATACAAGACTCTATGGAGATTATATGGTGGGCTGCATTTAATGAAGAAGGGAGAAAGCATTTTAGAAGGCATTATCAAGGTAGAATGAAGATTATGAAAGCAAGCGAAGCAAGGAACACCTCTTGTTGCTTTGATAGCAAACAAACTTGTAGAGTTGTAATCTATTAAGTAAAATGATCAATGAGATGAGACATCTATAGATTAATTTTTGAAAGTGTGGAGGATATTGAACCATCATGAAGAGATGAAGAGGATGTGATGTTCTAAAAACCAAAGAGAGAAGTTGATTGTCGTCCTTTCATAAAGAGAAATTTGTAATTGACATATAGATGGTAAAGGCACTATAGATCGCAGCATGACCAAGCATGCTTAGGATGTTGGGCAGGAAGGTGAGCTCTTTGCCTTGATTCTAAGTCTTAAGTGCTCATATTTTAAATGTTGAAAATGAGGACGATGTGAAAAGAGAACTCCATTTGGAAATAAGATTAAATGAATGTGCATGAATTTAAATTTGAGAGTAATAGCTTTTTTTAAATGAGGGATATCAGTCTAAGAAATATATACACGCTACAAACTTATGTAATTGTACATGTTTAAAATGATATCTATATAATATATTTGATGATAATTTGATGTACTTTTCATTGATTATTCGCATGATGAATAAAGTTATGTCTATATAATATATGTTTCATATGATGGTGCCTGTTGCAAGCTTAATATAATTGCTACTTACTGTGAGTGCATATGGTAACACATAATGCCACCATTAGAAAAAAAATTATTACTCGCAAATAGGGTGTATTTTGAGTGTACGTTCCTAAACCGCACATACAAAATGATCACATGTAATATTACTCTATTTAATGCCTTTGAAAACAATGGTAATCACCTCACATCATTGCAACCATGGTTGACAAACTCAATATTATTGACCTAAAAAGCAAGTTCATGTCCAATTCAATGATTTGATGAGGGGAGTTTATAAAATTAGAGGCATTTTACCCATTTCATGAAGGTGATCCAAATTAGCTGCATATTTAAGCTAATTTGATGAGGGGAGCTATATATATAATGTCATTTGAATTGGTTTTTCAGTGTTCATCAGCTTATTGTTTAATGTGCACACATATTTTATAGGAATCTAATTTCTAATATTAACAGACTAGAAAAAAAATATTTTTAGAAGCAGTTGTAATAAATAATTTTGATTATTGCTCTGAACTACTAGAAGAGAATATTCTGTTGGCAGTACAATATAAGTTACATTTTACATTTTTAACCTAATTTATTGACACTAATCTGTAGTTATACAACATCATGGTTTTAAAGGATAATTTGCCTGTTTAGTGTAAAGTAAAAAAAGAAAAAAGAAAAGAGAGAGAGAGAGAGAGATAGAGAGAGAAGTGTCAAAAGGATCCCAACTCTTCAAAGGGTGTTATTTTAATCCCGAGTTTATAAAAATGTCAATTTAGGGTTTCATTTGGGATTGCGATGCGGTGGCATTGCGGCATCACCACAACAATTTTTTTTTGTTTGACAAAATTACATTTTACCTACATTCTCAAAAAACTATAGCTTAAACCTGCAATTTCCGATCCGAATCAGTGATTGCTAGAAAGTTGGAGTCTGAATTTTTCAATTTTTTTTTTAAAAAATAACCATTAATGTTTCTTCAACAACTTCACAACATAAAAGCAACTCATTAACCAACAACCTCAAAGTAATATAAACTCAATTAACACTTTCAAGGAAGAAAAGAAAAACTACCATAAATAGAACACATTTACAAAATCCTTAGAATTTCCTCATATTTAACATAATCAATAAAAACTAAATAAAAAACTTAAATCAGGATGTTGATAAGACTTGCCAATATAGATAGAACTGATAAATTAGTGTTGTTTTTGATCTAAAATCATATATCCTAATAAGTGAGAGGCCCACAAATTTGGATGTATCCATAACTCTGAAATTTTTTCCATCATTGGTTCACAACTCCTTTTCTTGCGCACAGTGCTTTCTGCTTTGAGTTTCTGTGACATTGGAATAGTTGAAAAATCTCATTCCATATCAGAAACTTCATCTTCATCCTCATCGAGGATATAAACCAATGCATGCTTCCGAGCAGAGAAAACAGAAGCCACACCTCTGGAGGCTGTGAAAACACTTCACTTTATTAAGAATTAACTAACTTAAAAAAAGGGGGAAATATGATAGATTTAAACAGAATTGCCTTAATGAGGGAATTAACTTGATCATCAATTGGTTCATATTTTTCTAAAGCTCATGCAGAATAATCAGTATAGAGCCATCATATTAAAAGGAGCTTTGATGAAGTTCAAATTTTGTGGATGAAAGCTAATGCTGAATGATGATGTGATCATCTTAATAGAAAGCTTGTTTGCATTGGGCAATTGAACCAATATCGGCGTGAGAGAATGAGACTTTCAATATAATTTGGACACACACACATTCCTTACACATGAATGAATAAATGGAAATTTTATTGACCTCCCTCATAAGGCATCAGAGAAAAAATTATACCCGTCCTATTACATAATTCGATTTGGACATTACTCTTATTTATTAATCATCCACTAGACATAAAGGATTCATAGGTGACCCCTACATAGTTAAGAGGTGGCTCCCACCATAAAACAGTTTGTCCTATTTTGGGTTAAAGAGGCAGCTCCAAAAACGAGTCGTATTGTTCTATATGATACTTAATTTTCATCTTCAGACTAATATAATGCTCTGTTATCATTTGCAAGAGTACAAACTGTCACCCATCGAGAGTAGTTGCATAGATATAGTTAAACTTCGGAGTTCTTGATGAAATTCGAAAGATTACCCCAAAAAATGCCTCAATATTAAAAGTTCAACTTTATTCTACTTGCAGAGTTTCACAAGAATGTCAATTACTTAAATGAAAGAGGTTGTGAAACTTCTCAAGTAAAATGAAGTTAAACTCTTAAACATCGATATGTCTTTTAATACAACGGTCGAAATTTCATCAAAAACACCAAAGTTAATCATGCTTGTAGTACTCCTAAGTTACACCAATGGGACAAAACAATGACGTCATTAGGCCAAAATGAACAGCATCTCGATGGATGAGAGTTTGAGCTGTTACATTAAGTATGTTGCTTTTTAAGTAAAGAAATGATTCATACTTAGTTAAATGTATATTTATTCTCAACTTCATAACTCATGGTCACTACCAACAAATCTTTAGCTCAATATTTGATATATCATATTAATTGTACCTTTAAAATTAAATATCATTCTTATGTGTGTGTATATATATATATATATAGTAAAAATGTCGCTCTGCTAGGGTTCCGCCCCATGGCGAACCCTAGCATCACATGTTGCTTCCCTTCTGCTTCGGGATTCAGCGTCGTCTCACATCGTCTGCTTCGTCTCGGTGGTCTGATTCCATTCGTGTCATTTGCTGCGTTTCTTGTCTGCGCCTCGTCTGTGACAGAGCCGCTCGATCTGTGTCTGTGACAGAACGCTCGTCATCTGCTCGGCTAAGACCGTCTGCGAGCCGCTCGTCGTTCAGCTCGGCTCAGCGCGCGAGTCTGCGACAGAGCCGCTCGTTTCAGCCTCTGGCGTAGGCATCTGCGACAGATCCTGCAGCTTTTCTTCCCACTGCACCCCCCCCCCTCACCGCTTATACCCCCGCCAAACCCTCCTATGCTACAGTAGTTCACAAACACAGCTCCCCTTTTCACCCCGCAGACAGTATTCCCGCAGAGTTACCATGATTCTGTTGCAGGAAATGGCGATTACAATCTCATAAAAAAAGTAGAAAAAAAGACGGGTAAACCAGCAATTTTCTTCTCTGACACTGAAATTTCAACTCGTGCAGGAAAATACAAATTTACACTAGTTGGAAAGTCTCAATTAGGTTGCCAGAAGATGAAGATCATCAGGAAGGTTTTTGAAGATTTCAAACTGGTTGAGGATTGGCAGGTGGGCCATTTCGATGGTAGACATGTTATGATACTGCTGAGCACAGAAGATGATTACATGAGGATTTTCTCAAAGAAATTCATCACAATTGAGGGCAAACCCCCAATTGCACCTATCTGGTTCTCATTACCTGAACTCAAGCTTCATTTCTTTGATCTACATATCTTATATACAATTGGGACTATTCTTGGAAAACCTTTGCAGGTAGATTTACCTACAGTTTATTTCTAAAGACCCTCTATTGCAAGGATTTTGATTGAACGATATATTACACTACTGGATGTAGAAGAAGTCTGGCTTGGATCTGCTCACAATGGTTATTGACAAAAAATCATTATGGAACAAAAATCATACTACTGCAAGCACTATAAGATGTTTGGACACCCGCATGAGAAATGTTTCAAATTGCACCCACAGTTGAGAACCAATAGTCAAAAGCAGGAACAAACTGTTAGCGCACCTCATGTGCCTGAACGCGCTCCTAGCAAACTTGATGACAACAAACCTATGTGCCTGAACGCGCTCCTAGCAAACTTGATGACAGCAAACCTGAGGAGGGAAACACCACAAGACATGAGTTAGTGTCTGCCCCTGGGATCCCTTCTCCTGACCATACTACAATGGATAATGTTCGAACTGAAAATCAGGATAGTCCCGCAGCTCCTATTCAGGAAACATCAGGTGCACATGTAACAATTCACATTTCACATACACTGGAACCTATCGCGGTGGCAACGACTGTATTTCCTCCTACTGCTGTTCAAACATCAAATCAGAACGAAAATCATATGAGCTAGTCTTCAGATGAAGAATGACATGTTTACACTTCTCGGCGGAAGAAAAAGCCTGACGGCTCACTCCAACTTGGAAACTTAATGGATGCTATTTTGGTGACTCCTGACAAAGACACGACTCTTCAAAGCTTGTTATCTAATTCGAAGAGGCAGGACTAAACTGGCTCGTCCCTAGCTACTATTTTCTGCATGTTTTAAATTTGTTTTTAATTTTTGTTGAGTCTATCTATACCTTTTGTTGGAGTTTTTATGTACTTGTATAGTATGGGTAGGGTGCCTCTTTGGACTCTTCTCATACAAGCTTTATGTATCATTTTCTATTTCAATAAAATCAGCCCTTGGGCTTTTCATAAAAAAAAAATAT